GTGACATCTTATGTTATGCAGTTTTACATCATCTGCAGCAGCAGATTGAACGTGCAAGGGAACGTCAACACGTGTTGGTGCTATGTCTTTATCATGATATGACGGCAGTGTCATTGCAGAGCTGAGCATAAATTTAACTGAACAGTAAAATGACACCATTAAATAAATGCAGAATTATTAGAAATATTTGATCCTCCTGTTTGTGAACAGACAACTGACACAGGCTCACTTTGGCACTGAGGGAAAGTTTAAATATCATAAACGAGTTAAAATTGACACTGAACTTTACAATGGAGCAGTTTGCATACATGCGACTCGTGCTTGTCTCACTCTTATTGCAAATTGTGTTACCTAATTAGCAAATTCATCTTCGTGATATCCCAGTGTGAAACTTCTTTCAAGACCTGTGGTTTGAAATGAATGAACAAAGTAATTATAGCTGTTTTTCCTTTGGGCATCTCCACTTCAGGGCCCATGGTACAGATATTTTAAGGCGGATATTAACTCTCTTGTCTATTCCTAGATGGGTAGACCCACTGCTGACCTTGTAGTCACACAATTTAAATTGCTTAATTTAGTTTATCTGAAGTGATTCATTAAAAATCATTACAGTTGAAATCAGAAACACAGCAGCCGTGTTTAGCCCCCTTTCCTTTCACCAGAATTAATTCAACTGTGTTGATATTGGATTTAATGTTGCTTTAACTGCCAGTGATAGCTGCTCTGCAGCCGTGTTACTAGCAGTTTGTTGAAACCTCTGGGAGGTGCACAGCGATTACAGCAGAGGTATCGCTCATAACTATGATTTGGGAAAGAGGGCTGGTGTTTATGAATCCTAGAGAAGCAGACATACAAATGACTTTGTTTCCACTGAAGGGCGGTTACGATCAGGCTTTCTATCATCATAAAACAGGAAGTTTATGCATATGCCCATGCAAAGTAGGTTTTAATGTTCTCTATGTTGCCTGTTTGAGCCTCTACTACAAAGTACACACTGCATTTCTTTGCATTCTCTTCTTTGTGTAGGTCTGACTTCCCCTTTTCAACTAAGGTACTAACACAACCCTGACAGATGTGCAATTCTGAAAATAATAGTACTTTATACAACATATAGAGCCTATTAAATTAAAATGAACTATTGGTAATTCTGTCAAAAATATGACTCTGATTATGTCATCACCTCACACGGCTGCATGGGCCCCTGAATATAATAACAAGCTGTAGACTCCAAAAATACAAAGCATTAGTGCGACGTCTTGCAGTATAATCAACAATATATAACTGCACACAAGATGTACAGTAATATATTAAAGTCCTTCTAGAGGAAATTCTGTCACCTGGCACCCATCTTGAAAAATACCTACATGCACTTAAGTGGTTATGTTGATGCATATCTTCATGAAACTGAGATAAAGACAACATATAGAATCATAAGTCAAATCTGATGACTTTCCCTTAAAACAAGATTATAAGAAATCTTTCTGCACCACAGATTTAAATTCAGTGTTCTCCCAGTGCTGTGTTTCTCTTTATGTCTCTGGCATTAAAATTGGACAGTTTGTATCTATAAATGTACAAAGGTGCAATTTCCTATTAAAATGTCCCCGTGCACGATATCAGAGCCCACACTGACACTCCACAGTGGGAAGCAGCCATCACTGAAAATATTAATGACACGTCGTGACTTTTTCCAGCTGTGACAACAAGCGATTTGTTTAATATGAATGCTAAAAATTGTCTTTATTAATAATAATAATAATAATCTTTAGCTGTAGCTACTGAAGCAGTGCCTTTAATATTTCTACATGTGGGCTTACATAATGGGGTATAGTCTTGTTTTTTCATCTCCAAGTTAGCCAGCTTGAGGTCATGTGTCAGTTCCTTATTAACTGGTCAAAATGTGCTCGCGCAACCTTTTGGCCCGCCTCCCGTCCTCGGCCATATTAAATGAAGCCTTGTAAATATTGAATGAGACGCTATTCGGTGAGTACCCTACATCCTTGTTTATATTCTTTGCTGACTGCTAGTGTGTCCCTAAGGAGATATCCAGCCACGGACTTTCATCATCTCTGATGTAACTCGGCTCTTCCTGCTGTTAATGTATGAGGGGCCCTCTGAAGGATCGATGAGAAATCACAAAAGACTTTATTTACACATAAGTGATGTTTGATAAATTATTAAATCATCTGTGTTTCAAGCAGACTTTACGGAAGTCGAGGAAACGTATCTTTAAGAATAGATCTAACAAGAAAGGTTGCCTATTTAAAAATATGCACAGGAAAAATTGAAAGTGGTAACCCTGTGTTCTTGCAGTGGCAGCTGTACTGTCTGAACAAGAGGCTTGCAGTTACCAGTGTGGACATATTTATCTCTTTATCACCAGTCATTTTTCCTGTGGTATAAATATCTGTCCTCAAGTAGGTGCCTGATCTTTTTATATTTACTTGCTATTGTCTGTTTGACTAAAGGACAAACTTGTGAACCGGTGATTTTCTTTCCTCTAGCCCAAACACCAGGCTGACTTTGAGGGCTTTGAGTGACGTCGCTTAACTCTTTCGACACATGTTCACATTAGGTTGAACTTTGGTGACTTCTTGACTCTTTGTCTAGCATCATTGTGGCCATTTAACAAATTGTGACCATTAAGCATTAAAGCACCTCTTTAAACTTAACTGAGCACTTAAACATTTGGTGATGGGAATTTTTACTATTTTTAAACATCATATAGACTTTGTGGTTAATGAAACTGAGATATTAGCTTTCATGATAATCATAATGGTTAGCTGAAACAAAGCACCAACCTCAAGAGCTGAAAAATCAAACAAATATGAAAGTGATTTTAAAAGATTGCAGTTCCTCAAATGGCCCCTTGAGGCTGCTTCCAATGGTGAATCAGTCCACGAAAACGCGCCCATTTTAATTCTTTTATCAAGCATTTTTGCAGCATTGTACAAGATAGTTTGGGCGTCTGTGGTTACTTAAACATAAGTGTCCCCTTATAATGATAAACAAGTTTTAAAAGGGGGAAAAAACTCATTTACATGGATACTGGTGAGGTTCAAAGTTAGGGGTGTGGTTGTTTGGCTTGACAGGTTGGTTTACCCAGACAGCTGTTGCCCATTACGGTCTGCTAGGCCTCAATTATTACACCTCACCTCTTTTTGGAGTATTTTAATGGGTTTAAGAGTATGGCTTGCTCTTTGGTTCCAAGAACACCCCGTCTAAGAGGTTTGTGCTTCATTTTTGGTGAATTAAATTCTAAAATTTTATCAGTCTGTTAATTAGCAGAGGTGAGGTGTATTCTTTGGATCCCTACATGAAAGATAGGAGTAGCTACTATGACATCCCATTTTGAAGCCTTGAAATGAGTGTTTCCAGTCTTTGTTTTGAAACAGTAAAGGTTTAAGGCAGGGGTGTCCTACAGGTTTTAGATGTGTCCTTGATCCAACGCAGCTGATTTAAATGGTTAAATTACCACCTCAACATGTCTTGAAGTTCTCCAGAGACCTGGCAATGAACTAATCATTTTATTCAGGTGTGTTGACCCAGGGTGATATCTAAAATCTGCAGGACACTGGCCCTCGAGGCCTGGAGTTAGACACCCCTGGTTTAAGGCATTTCCATTGGCTTCTTTTTATTGTGAGAAAGACTCAGAAGTTCATGTTAGTGTCTAAGTTGTGGATGCAGCTTGCTCAGCACTTCAGCTTCTGGTCTACTAAAAAAGACACTAAGCTGCTCTGCTGCTATAGAGTCCAACACCAATAAGTGATGTCATGGTGGCTTTGTCCATCTTTTATATGCAGTCTTTATATGTGGTCTTTATCTACAGGGGCGATCGTGGCTCAAGAGTTGGGAGTTCGCCTTGTAATCGGAAGGTTGCCGGTTCGAGCCCGGCTTGGACAGTCGTTGTGTCCTTGGGCAAGACACTTCACCTGTTGCCTACTGGTGGCGGTCAGAGGGCCCAGTGGTGCCAGTGTCCGGCAGCCTCGCCTCTGTCAGTGCGCCCCAGGGTGGCCGTGGCTACAATGTAGCTGCCATCACCAGTGTGTGAATGGGTGGATGACTGGATATGTAAAGCGCTTTGGGGTCCTTAGGGACTAGTAAAGCGCTATATAAATACAGGCCATTTACCATTTACAGTCCGTTTTCAATTAATTTTTAAATCCCCAAGAGCAAATTTAAACCCATACAATTTAATCCCATTCATTTAAAGCAAGTGTAATCTAGGTGTTTTTAACATTATATCCCCCTGAGAGCCAGCCTATTCCTTTATGTCCTCTCTAATGGACATTTGTTTTTGGTCCATATCTTTTGACTTATTTGAGCTAGTCCAGATGACCTTAATAGAGAACATCCTGGACTTTCCATTGATATCTCATGTATTTGGGCGGGCTATTAAAGGCTATTTTAGGATACAAAAAAAAAAACATGTACAAAAAGCATTAAAATCCCTTTACATTAATTATTATATATAGTAATGCATATATGACGTATATTATACATTAAACCCTGTTAATGTTAAACCTGTAGTCGCGGCTAAGCAGCTGTTAACAGCGTGTATGTTTGCTACTGTACTACATGCACAGTACAGTGTGTCAGAGTGTATTGGTGTATTTGCCCTCCTCCTCCCGGCGGAGGGGCGGGGTCCATATGATTGCACATCAACACTCACGGCTAGCTGCAGACGCAACTCGGTCGCTCACACTTTCTCCACTTTCAGCTCACTCCTGGCGTTCCCGTAGCTGTTTAAACAACGTTTCCGCAACTTTTAGGAAGAGGAAATTTGAACATAAAGTATTTTTTAAATTATTATCATTGTGTGGTAATTTAAGAAAGAAAAAGAAGAGGAAGAGAAACCATCAGTCTCTGGTTCAGGCGCTCCGCTCTTTGGGAAGATATGATGTGAGCACCGAAGCTGCAGGAGGACTGGATAACCGCGCATCCTTTAAGTAAGTGCTTCACGCCTCACCGGCACGGATTTATGGCTCGTGGAGATTAATAACCCCTAACATAGTGCTGCTCTTTTACCTTTTTTTGCGCGGGGGTCATACGCTGCTTGCCTACCGTGGATATCATTTTCCTCTGATAATCTTATTGTGACCCGTAGCGTTCAGCAGCTATCCTGTACCTAATATTGTTGTTCTTTCACTGCTATGACTCTACAGATGAACGACTCTTTGGGGACTTTAGGTGTAACATTACTGGAAACGACCTCTCCCTGCTGACTGACTGTTTTTATGTTATCTGCAGCACTAAACTCATGACAGATCATTTGTAGTGTAAGTGATGAGGCTGTTGTAACATTTCCAGGAGCTCTGTGTTTCCCATCCTCAGCAGCCTCATTATGTGCACAGCTTTTCTCTAGGTTACTGTGCACACACTACAGAATCTGACTTTCACCACTTGTTTTTTTTTCTTTGCTCCAAAACCCTCCACCAAACAAGTGTCCTGCATTTGCAGAAAGCCATGCTGACGCCCTTACCACTTAAATAAATATTTTAGCATTAGTTGTACAAATGAAACATGCAGCATCTCCCTGACTTACATTATGCACACTTGCACGCTGAGACGCGATTGGCTGCAGCTCAGCGTCTCTCCGTGTGGCAACAAGCCTTCCCCATCCACCCAGCAACTCCCTATTCCTCATGCTGTGGTGAGTCTCTCTGCCTCTGAGGGCCCTTTCTGCAGCATCCGACGTGGTAACCATGGCAACGGAGCCTGACCCTGGGCATGCTTACTACAGGCTTGACCTGGATTTCTCTCTACATGCCAGGCAGGAGCGCATGACTTGGGCAACTGACCCGCTTCTCACATTGATTGGCTGTCGAGCAGTGAGATCAGAGGCGACGATACGCTGCTTGTTCAACGAATCAATGAACTCACTTGTGATTGGCTTTGTGTCACTGGGTGTCTGAGTAATGTGTTTGTAATGTTAACACATTTGGTAATGCTGTTCTGGGAGACGAGACGGGTGCTTTGCCAGTTTTTCTAAGATGAAGACTGGCTTTTCTTTCTTTTCTTTTTTTTTTTCTTTTTTTTTTTGAATTAATCTAATGTGCCAGTAGGTTTAATCGTTTTGGATTGTGCACTAATGCTTGGGGGGAAAAAAGACATCTGAAGATGATTTCTAATCCGTGTAAGTTAAGATGATCTCTGGCTTCTTGATGCTTGGTTTTGGAGGATTTGAGCTTAATAATTAATTATTTTTAATTACATATTTAAAAATTTTCTAAAATTAATTTTTGTTTAGCACTTTTGCGTCACATGCCTGGTTTCATATCCACCACCTGGCTGGTTTCTGTGTGGAGTTTGCACGTTCTTCCTGTGTTTGCGTGGGTTCCCTCTGGGTACTCCGGCTTCCTCCCAGAGTACAGAGACATGCAGTTAGTGGGGTTAGGTTAATGGGTGATTCTAAATGCTAAATTCCCCTTGCTGCAAATTTTGAGTGTAAATGCTTGTTTGTCTCTCTGTGTAAACCCTGTGACAGGGGCAGCCTGTCACCCCGGCAACCCTGAATTGAATAAGTGGAAGAGAGAGAAATTAATTTATTACGAAATTCTGTCCTTATTTTTTTTACTTTTAACTATTTACTTCTCTTCATTCCAGGGAAACAAAGCAATCTTTGTCAAAAATGACTGTGTTAAAGGTACTTTTTGTAAAAAACTTCTATAAACGACAGTTAAAACATTGACCACAAGATGGCAGTGTTTTAAATGAAAATGTTAGTGTAGTTGCCTGCTGCGCCAGAATTAAATGCATAGTACTGTGCAAAAGTCGTGAGCCACCCCTCATTTGATCATATTTTGCTAGGAAACGGGACATAGGTGCATTGATTTATTGAAATATGCAAATACAAAAAATAAGAAAAAAACTGAGTTTATTCATTTCTAACAAGCTTGAAAGTCAATATTTGGTACGAGCACCTTTATTCTTCAACACAGCTTGAAGTCTCTTGGGCATCTTTCTTATCCTTTCTTCAAGTTGTCTTAAGGAATGGTTCTCCAGGCTTCTTGAAGGACATTAAACGCTCTTCTTTGGACACGATCTCACGCTGCTTCAGTAATGTTGAGCTTCGTGCTCTTGGGAGGCCAATGCATGACTGATAGTGATCCACTGTGTGTTTTTCTATCCAGGCATACTTTTACTGTACTGGCAGTGTGTTTGGGAGCCTTTGCCAATGAGATGCATTCCAGATTCTTCGGATTACTCTTTTGTGTTTATAATTCTATAATTTTAGACAACAACATGACTGAATTAGAGCTGCGAACCATGACTGAGCTTCCACCTTGTTTTAGAGACAGGAGGCACTCACAGTTGTACCCCTCTCCTCATTTCCATAGTGGTTATTGATTTAACCACAATTTTCAAATTTGGATTCATCACTTCATGAGACCTGTTGCCACTAACTTTCAGGTCTTGTGTAATTTGGCACACCTCGGTTTCATCCCATGAACTTGGTGCTTTTTTTCTACTTGAACGATTCACGATTCACAGTGTTAAGTAGCAAGGACTGGACTGAAAATGAGTGAAGAATCAGCCAATTTCTAAAGAACTTTAGCAAGATTGTTCCGTTGGATGTGGAAGATATGTTCCTGATATGCACCTGTTTGGCAGATACAGTTTTTCCTGCTTTTTAAATGGAGTTTTTTTTTAGTATTTATTTCCCTCTTTGTTCCAGGGAAACACAGAATTCCTGATAAGCAAAGTGACCACACAGTGTTGAATATCTAGCTAGCACAAAACTGCAGATAAATATCGGCTACATATAACTGTATTAAAATGTTAGTGTGTTTGCTCATGCTGATGTCACTGGGACCGGCTGCAGATATTCAGTCGATATTTCTGCACATCCTTAGTTTCAAATATCAGCTGATTTTTGACCTTTTTTGTGTTACATTTGCTTGCCTTGCCTCCACACAGACACACACCCGCCCACCTGTGGAATTTCCTGGTATAAATAGCGGCACATTCAATGTCTTCCTCTTACTGTGTAATTCGAGTGTATATGTAATTCATTTCTGGAGGGATAAGTGAGCAGATGTTGTGGATTTAGTCGCCTTTGACAGAAAATGGAAGTGTTCATAGATCCGTCGCTGCGCAGCCCACGGCTCAGCTGTAAGATCCCCGAGGTGTCAGCTTGTTGTCGGAGCCAGACTGTGTAGGAGTGCCTATTTCTGTCCTCTCTCTCTCTCTCTCTCTCTGTGTGTCTCTCTGCCACTCGGTGCATCATGACTGAAGTCAGCACGGTCAGCCTCTTTGCTTCTCTGCCTGTCAATGTGAACCCTCGTATGCAGCTTAGCGTGCAGACTTAAGAGCACTCGAAGGAGTCAGAGTACCTGCTAAGAGGGAGAGCCATTGATTGAGTTTGTCTGTCGCAAGAGATCAAAGCTTCAGTGCAAAATTAGTCTATATGCAAAATGTGAATCTGCAGCTGTTTAGATTGTTGCTCTGAAGCAGTGAAATATTTTTAATTTGCAGCTTTGCAGATGTGAAGATTTCCTTGCCCTGCTTGCCCTCAGTGAAGACTAGAAGCCACTAATACAAGTGATTAGTCATCACGCAGCGATGATATTAATTTGGTTATTTTTAAAAAGTAATATAATATAATAACTCTGATATTCCTCATTAATTGTGAGTGGTGTTAATTCAAAGTGGACACATTTAGGAACCGCAGGAACAGAGAAACCACATCGGCTCATAAGGATTCCTTCCAAACACAAGTTTGTCCAGGATTTACAGGCCTGTGATTTTTCTCCAGGCTTTCTGAAGCTCTTTCAAAGTTTCTCTTTATCACTCATTTTCAATCCAGCCCTCGTAACTGTCCAATATCAGAGGATTTTCTTTTTGTTTGTTGAGCCACTTAACTCTGGTGGGCAGTTAATACAAATAAATAATAAATAAATGAAAATACTGACAATAAATTAGTTTAAATGAAAAAAAAACCCCTCTGGTCTTACTTTTCTTGACAGAGTACATAATTGCAAACTTGAGCATCTTCACAGACTGATAACTTTAGCATATTGGATAAAATAAAAATGACAAAGCTGAACTTTGGGGAGATCATCTGCAGCTGAAGGTAATGTTATTGCAATACTCAGCTTATTGCGATTTTTAACATTTTGCAATAACATCGTATCGTGAGTGAAATTCTGTGATAATATCGTATACCACTGGTAGACATACATCTTTATAGTGTGTTATGAAGGTTTCTCGTTTTTAACAGTGTCAGCTTGAGCTCTGGGAAATCTTGGTCAGCATCTAAACTATTTTAAACTATTTTCTGGTCTTTTATTGAGGGGAAAAAGGAAATAATATGCAGTGTTTCCTTGCAGTCTTGCATTAATGGAGTAATTATTCAACCACTGACAGAACATGAATTGTAAAAACTTGAATCACCTCTTTTCAAAAGCAGCCCTTCCAACACGCGCTCATCAGTATCCAAAAATAAAAACAAACGCCGGACTAAAAGAGACAACAAAAATAAACAGTGGGGGCTCGGAGGCGGGCAGGAGGTTCTAAAGGGCTGTCAGTAGCTGCATGCAGGATTTGTACGACTCTGTCACTAGTGCACGATGTTTCGCACGCTGATGTTTACTTCACTGAGAGAAGAGTGCAGGCTGAAATGGTGTAAAATCAGTGTGGAGTCAGGCTGCAGATGTCTGCTCTGATGACCTAAGGAGAGGCATTCGAGCTGAAGCTGATTTTATTTATTCCCTGCCTGTGTTTCAAGACGTCGTTTAAAAGCCTTCCATTGTGTGTGTGCTTTGGGGCCGGCGAGGTCTGGCTGCCATCGAACCATGTGAGTCACACGGCAACAATGCGATTCTCTGTCCTCTCCCCTCAGCACCGCTTCTCCTCAGAAATGAGGCTGGAATCAATAAGGTGTTTGCAGCCAGTGACCCACATTTACTGCTCTCAGATGATGAGAGGTTATCGGTAAACGAGGGATTCAAGAAATTCCTCCAGTCCTCACCATGATGTCGTGAGCGCCTGGGTGGATTTTGTTTTCTCAGCCCGTGTTAAAGGCAGCTGTGTTCTGTATTGCAGATGTGATGGACCAGCAGAGGGCTCTGCATTCAGGTTGCCTGGTCTCAGGGGTCCGTACGCCTCCCGTTCGCCGCAACAGCAAGCTGGCCAGTCTGGGACGCATCTTCAAGCCCTGGAAGTGGAGGAAAAAGAAAAACGAGAAGCTGAAGCCCACAGGAGGTGAGTGTGACGCCGTGCACGTCCACGGGTGGCGTTAAACGCTGAAAGCCATAACATGCAAATAGTCCCACGCGCTCTCATTTCCTTATGCAGTCTGAGGACCGGTTTGATTAATGTTTGTGTTCGTGTAGCGGTGGAGAAGAAGGCAGCTGTACGGCAGAAGAGAGATGACCTCGTCAGGAGGAACCCCGGGGAGACCGAGACAGGTGCAGAACCACAGATGAACACATGTTAGCGCACTAGCACACATATGACTCCAGGCTTTGCACGGTTCACTTGCTCAGCCGCATGAGGCCTAAACTGCCACGCAGACTCATTCCTGTCGCCTCTTTGTGCTATGTGCAGAGTCAGATCTTGCTTGTGGGGGTAACAGTGAGGACCTGGACACCCCCCCTCACTCTGACGGTGAGGACAGAGACGAGGAGCCGGTGGCACCGCTGGCCAACACTAATGAAGACCTGGGCAGTGATTTAGAAAGCTCAACAGGTACAGCGATGTAGGCTCAGGCTTTGTGTTCACCTTGTTGCTAGCACTATTTTCTTTTTATACATATCCTGTATCTGCCTCACAAAAATGCTGCTTTATTGCATCAGTTGTGCAAAACTGCTAAACATATTTGTCACATCTCTAAGAAACTTTAGGAAAACTGTTTTTAGCATCTTTTAGCTCATTGTTTTGATTTTATAGCTCATCTGTTTTTTACTGGATAGTCTCACATATGTAAATTCATCACAGCAAACAACAGACCCACACCACGCTGGGGGACACAGGGAAGCATTTATCGTGTAAAGATGGGAATTTCCCAAAACAGTTGGTTTATAACAAATATAAAAAATACAGGAGAGTAAATAAAGGTCACGACTTGACCAAAAGTATGGCTCTTAGCGCTTAGCTAATACTGGCCCCGCCAGTATCTCAGCCAGCTATATTTGCCATTATTTTGGTATATATATTAAAATTAAATAGAAATTCAAAAGAAAGGAAGAGATGAAAAACATTTCAAATATGTTATAAAAGTTTCTGCAACTTCCTTGTTGACATGTGTTCACAAAACAAAGAAAACAACCACCTGATGCGAGTCAGAGTATAAACAAATAATCCATGACTTGTTGTAACAGTGCAACAATTATTTTAAGGGCTCATAAATAACAACACACAACAAATGTCAGAAATCTGTTTGTGTTTCACGTGTCTGAAAGAAAATGTAAAAACATCCACCAATGTTTAAATCGCCAAATATGGATACAGACTCTTCCTTACTTTAGTTTCTATTTTCATCACCTGATTTAAAATAAGTGATATTGATTATAAAATGGGTTTTCCGAGTGCAGTTGCGCTATGTCTCTGATTGTCCACTAGGTGGAGCCAAAGGCTTCAGAAACTCACTAAACCTTTCGGCTTACCTTCGCTGTGTGCTTTCAGTACAAGATGTGACTGAAGTGGCAAAGACAGCAGGTGATCAGAGTCAGAGTGAAGATGGAGAAGATGAAAGCACCTCAATCAGTGACCCCAGCGAAGAGCAGATGCAGGGCCAAGCCGAGGGTATCGAGGGGAAGCAGGAGGCGGCGGTGACCAAGCCTCAGAGACGAGCCAGCACCCCTCCTCCACCCAGCCTGCCTGTCAAACTGCTCACCAGGCTGGGCAGCTTAGAAGGTGCGTCCAGCAGGACTCACACTGATGTAAAACCAGCGTTCGGTATCTGACTCGATGTGTTTCACTTCTCCAGGTGCTCCTCCAGTGCCGGTGAAGAAGTCCCCTGCCACCTTACCCAGGAACTTCACTCTGCCCAAAGACCCTCATGGCTCTCTGTTGAGAGGCAGGATCTCCACACCCACCGGGTCCCCTCACCTCGGGGCGCTGCACCCACAGCTGCCCCCCAGCTGCATCATTGAGGAGCTGCACCGCGCCCTGGCTACCAAACACAGACAGGACAGGTCAGGCTTGATGTGCAGCATTTCCACCACGTCTCTGTTTGTGTAGTTGCCAAAGAACACAAACAGCATTTTGGTCAGTGAATGGATTTGCATTAGTCCTGTTAGACAGAAACTCCCACGACAAAAATGTAACCAATGTGGAAAAAAAAAGACCACAGGCGTCGTGTAAAAAGAGGAAGTATTTCTAAATATATTTCATGTATGGATTTTAAAGACCTGTTTTAAATGATGACCCCTTCAGAACAAAATCCAACTTATAATCAGCTTAATCTCACCAGCAACATATTGGGACAGTTTCTTTTTAACAAGGAGCAGCCATGTCTGACCCCCTCTGACCTTCAGGGGCAGCTGTGCTGTGTGAGGATATGCTTCACGCTCGTCCTTCAGGACATAGTGGAAGGGTTGGAGTCATATGTGAGCGTTACTCACAGACTGGAGCTGCAGGCCAGCAGGCTGTTGATTAGATTTAAAGAAGCAGCCTTCTGTTTGAGTTTGCCTCCCGTTAATGCTGACCCAGACAGTGTGTGCACGTGGACAAAGATGCTAATCTTCAAGTGCTAAAAATGAATGAAATGAGGATAAAATTTGAACTTTTTTTGTATTCTAGTGCAGAAACCAACAAAATGTGAACAAGTGTTTAAAAAAATGAATGAATGGACAATTGATTGTGTTTAGTTTTCTCTAGATTTGCTTTGATGTTGGAGCTTGAACAAGGACGTGCAAGTAAATGCTTCACAGACCTATAGTATTATTGGTATTTTGAGTGTTTATACTTGTGGATGTTTCATTGGCGAGTGTTGTTGTTGTTGTTGTTGTTGTTGTTTTTTTTAGATCTGTAAACCTGTTAGTGAAGCAGAAAACAACAGAGAGGGATTCCCGGTGTATTCAAAGCTTTTCATCTCTTATTTTGCCTTTGGAACCCAAACTGAAGCTTTATGCAGTTTAACGACTGTTTAGTGCTCTGTTTTATAGTTTACAGTCACCTCATGAAGATAAATCAGTCTGTTGTTCCAGTGTCTTGGTCACAGGATTGTTACATTGTGATGCTTTAGTTGTGCGATTTCTGCCTGGGCTGCAGACACAACCTGAACTCTTTAATCACTTCAGTGACTGCTGCTCGACCACGTTCGGTGGTAAACTAACATTTCAGCTGCTCTCTGAAAGATGAGCTGTGCAGCATCTCAGTCGCTCAAACACAACAATCCACCACAGCTGTAACTGACAGACATCTCGTGACATGTGACCTCAGTTTTCAGATGAAGGAGGCGCGCTCGTCTCCGAAACGCCGTCCGGAGGGCCGCCTGTCTCGCACGTCCAGCACAGAGAAGGACCCGGCCGGAGAGTCCGAGAGCAAGAAGGAGTCTGACGAGAACAAGGAGAACTGGCGTCTGGATGAATACTTGAGCGACCAGGACAGCTGGAACGAGTCTGTGATCTCCGGTATGTGTGCCGACAGCCGACTTGTGGTATGATGTTTGCTTTACTGTTATCGCCCACGTTCTGTACAGAGCCCAAATCTGGGCACCCTGTCAGTGGATAATGAAGCTGCATAATCTGTGGTGATGTTTGTTTATACTCGCAGCCTGACGGGGAGATTTACATGGATGATGAATGGCATACTTGCTGGTGTTAAGTTTCAGAGCCTGTCAACATCTGCTCTGGTGGCCTAATTCTTAGCTGTTCATTTGGGTCAGTGGTGCTCGGACTCCTGCCGTTAGCATGTCTGCGACTCTGGGGGAAAAAATGTTAAAAGGGTGAACTGTGGAGCTCACTGGAGACTTAAATAGCACTGCCACAAAGGTTTACTCTTACCCAGAAAGGGTTAGTCGCAGAGATCGTGATGCTAATGTGTGGTGAAGGAGATGCTAACAGGATGAAAGCAGGAAAAAAAACAATGAATCAAAGGGAGTCACAGCTCAGATTTAAGAATGGTAGCAGTGCATCTTTGCACAAATCTGATATTTTTGGATGCTATGAATGCCTTTAATGGCCTCTTTTGTCAAGCAGAAACATGTGGTGTTAAAACTTGGAGCCCAAAAACGGCAGTTCTTTCAGTGGACGAGCGAGGCTCGGTAATAATTTGAATATTTTTGATGCCTAAAGTTGGGTTTAGTTGACACTCCTCCACATCAAAAGGAGCCAGTTGAGGCCCAGGATGCCTTCTGGGCATCTTGGCTGGCTTGGGAACATCTTGGTGTCCCCTCAGAAGTGTTGGAGGAGGTGGTCAGGGGAGAGGGGAGGTCCGCTGCCCTTGCGACCTGGAATGGCAGAAAATATGCGGATGCTGGGATGGGCATTTGCTTTTACCAATGATTCCAGACACAAACTCTGCCTCATGAATGTTTGTGTCAGGAAGGGCATCCACCACAAAATCTGTGCCAAATCAAACATGTGGATCCATCTGCTGTGGTGACCTCAGCCAAGTTCTAACATTAGTCTAAGTAATTGGCAGGTATCCGTGTTTGTGCACAGCAGGCATGTCACAGTTGATACTTTCATCTTTTATATGCAGTCTGTGTTCTTTTAAATTGAACATAAACTCAAAATATTTAAAACATGAAAGGTTTGATGGAGACGAGCACTCAGTCAAGGTGTGACATCTGATCTGCTCAGTCCGATCAGTTTTCAGCTAGAAAGCCACTGTACAGCCACTGACGTTAACTTGTGTTCGCCGACGACAGGGACCCTCCCACGCAGAATGAAGAAGGAGCTGCTGGCTGTGAAGCTTCGGAACAGGCCCAGCAAGCAGGAGCTGGAGGACCGCAACATCTTCCCCGTCCGCAGCGATCAGGAGCGGCAAGAAATCCGCCAACAGATAGAGATGAAGCTGGCCAAGTGAGTCGCTGTGTGTGGAGCCAGACCAGCATCCCACCCCTGTCTGACCCCCACCCCCTCATCGTGCTCTGTCTCATGTATGTCCGTTTCATCGCTCATCATCGCTGTTGACTGCACTTTGCCTGCTTGTCTATTTCCCATATGTAAATAATAATTATAATGATTATAATAATATGAATGATAGAGGTCCTTGAATGCAACACAGAGGCTTTTAATGCACATTCAGTTTGTGCCCTCAAACTGAGATGTGTAAATCTCTGCACAGTGTAAACCGGTAACAAGTACAGCAGAACATTGTTTTTACACACAACACTTTAATCACATCCGATGCGGTAAATGAGACAGAAACCATTTACAGACAAGCAGATGCACTTCCTATGACTGTGCACAGAAAGTTCACCAAGAGGGCAGATGGCCGTCAATGAAAGGAGGGAATGGAGCTAAAATATTTATTTATACCTGCTCCAAGACAAAAAGCAAACATCAACTTTGTTTTTGCAAATATTTCATTGAATGCAATATTTCCATTTATCAGAGTTGAAGTATAACAATATTAATGTTACATTGCTGTTATCACATAGTTACTAGAATCCTGCTAATATATGCTCGATTGTTTGAAACAGAAACGTGTATAAAAGAAGCATCAGGCTGAGGTGGCTGTTGTCAGGCAGATCCTGCTTGAAGTTCTCTGCTACTGCTGGGGCGATCGTGGCTCAAGAGTTGGGAGTTCGCCTTGTAATCGGAAGGTTGCCGGTTCGAGCCCCGGCTTGGACAGTCTCAATCGTTGTGTCCTTGGGCAAGACACTTCACCCGTTGCCTACTGGTGGTGGTCAGAGGGCCCGGTGGCGCCAGTGTCCGGCAGCCTCGCCTCTGTCAGTGCGCCCCAGGGTGGCTGTGGCTGCAATGTAGCTTGCCATCACCAGTGTGTGGATGACTGGATATTTAAAGCGCTTTTGGGTCCTTAGGGACTAGTAAAAGCACTATATAAATACAGGCCATTTACCATTTACTGCTCACAAATACTGTAACTACCTGTGTCAAAACTGAGCCTTTTCTATATGGAGCTTAATGAAAAGTTCCAGACATCCCAGGAATGTTAATTTTGTGGGTTACAGTTCAGCTCCTTGTGAAACTTTCCAGGAAAGGTAGTTTTCCCTCTTATTTCTGAAATACACCGGGTATCTCTGACGTAGCTTCACTCTGTCCTTTACACGTTTTCCCATCACAGCCAGAGAATTTTAAAAGCAGGACATATAATCCAGAAGGAGACTTTTATTATGAAAATCATCCCATGTGTGTTTATCAGAGCATGTCAGTGAAACGTTCACTGAGATTCGCTGCTGCCGGTGAGAACAGTTGGTGACAGTGAGCCTAGATTGTGTTTAAAAGATGGATTTAGCCACTGTGATGTCACCCTTTATATATTTATTTATTCATTCATTCAAATTTCATTCAAATGTAGCCCTTTGGCTGCTGCCATGTTGTTTTTTTCTGGCCCAGAAATAACCGTATTTGTGCTGAGTTATCAGCTTGATTAGCATTTGTCAACCCCAGTATTTGCTGCTGGAACCAGGCAGTGACCGAACACACTACAAGTCAACCTAACGCTTTTATTTTCAGGTGTCTACAGCAGGGGTCTAATCTAATTTAGTACTAAACTTTCACGTCATGTTTTAGTGATTACCAGTTTTCTTGAATATTTTTTTTATTATGCAAAATATAAAACATCTCTCCCCTTTAAACACCCCTAAGAAGCCATCATCGTCATACAAGCGCCATCCCTCTTAATAAACCTAAAAATTAAAAATAGGCCACGATACTTGATTGAACATGACGTCGAATGTGTTTGTTGCCACTTGTCTCCTAAAACAATGAATCTGAGCTAAATGGCAGTGGGATCTAGAATTTTATGAGTCCTTTCCCAAAATTCCTGCACCTCCCTACATGTGCCTTCTCCTCATTTTATACATCTGTGATGATCTTGGATCACTTTGACATAGATCACGTCAAGTGTACCAGCCATCCACATCATACAGATACAGTCGCCTAAAGAAATGGTGTAATGCCTCCATAACCATGCTCACAACAGCTCGTCAGCGCAGCGTTGTCCTAGTACACTATTGCTACGTTCACACTGCAGGTCTTAATGCTCAATTCCGATTTTTTTTTTGATCAAATATGATTTTTTTTGTCTGCTCGTTCACTCCACAAATAAAATGTGACAGCAAACGCGCTCTAGTGTGAACCCTCAAAGCGGCCTGCATGCGCAAAAGAAGACGTCACACACAACGCGCTCTGTTTAGACCCAGACCAAACACTATTGTTTGACTGATGGCCTTAATATAAAGACTTGTTTCAGACTTCACGTTTCCCAATTTTGCTTTAAGTTATAAAGTTATTTTGTTCTTTACATATGGCCTAATAATGATCCTTACTGCTGTTTTAGAGGAGCGGTGCTTCAAAGGATATTTACAGATTTCTGTCACAATCTGCAGATTATACAGTACAAATAAAATGTTCACGTTTCTCCAACGTTGTCTTTCCAACAGTTTCACTGGATGGCCAGGAAGTGTTCACGATGTCTTCTCCGGCGCTGATAATTGGTGTCTGTCTTGTGTCAGTGACGTAAAAGACGCAAACAGCAGTCGCTTTCTAAAACATCAGATATGTATCGGATTCAGTACCACATACGAAAGTGACCCAGATCGGATTTGAAAATATCGGATTTGTGCCGTACACACTGTCAAACCATGATCAGATATGGGTCGCATAGAGTCAAGAAAGTTGGATTTGATGCGCTTTCCCCTGCAGTGTGAACGTAGCCTAAGTTGCTCTGTTACGTGCAGTTCCATGTAAATAGTGCAGTCGATTTTAACAGCCCTGCCATGAGTCCTACCTTTATAAAGCTCATTCATTTTTGTTGTAATGCACACCTGTGTGAATTTTACGCAGTGGAAATGTGTTATGCAGGTTTAAAGAAAAGAAGAAGACACCTTTCAATGAGTGTATATGTGAGCAGGCAGAATGAATGCTAGGTTATTTGAGAGTTTCTGTGCTAACGTGGGTTTTGGTTCTTATAGCGCTTTTCTAATGAGTATTGAGCACCAAGTGATTTTTGCTACAAGCCTCATTCACCCAGTTATAGACCCGCATTCATACAAGCAGTTTTTTCCTATACCTAAGCAAACACTAACTGGTGGATGCATCGGGGTTCAGTAGAAATCGATCGACCAACCTTCTCCTTGATAGGACTTCCTCCTGACCCAGAGCCACCCCAGCTGTTTTCCACATCAGCTGTGTGTAGATTGTAAACATAGCGATTGTTGTTGCTCACCTTTGCTTGGATGTGCTTTTCTGGAATGTGGAACAGGATTTTCTGAAAGGCAGAGCAGAAAGGCCACGCAGATCATAATAGTATTTGTCATCTTATGTAAAAGGCAATAGGCTGTTACTACGGTGACTTTAATAGGATTATAGTAACTATAAAATTAGATTTTCTTTTGTGTGTGTGAATAACACAGCGACAGGGTGTTCTGGTATGCTTCTGCAGCGTCAGAATTGAGAAGGAAAGTTCATATTTCTCCGAGTCCCCAAAATAAATGAGTTCTTTGGAACACTTTCATACCACGGTGAGATCAAGTGTGGGCGTTGGACAGTAACACAGGCTCTCTCCACAGTGAGCGACTCCGACTTTGAGGACTCACACAGAGTCGATGCTGATTTTAGAGCTGTTTGCACTTTTCTCTCAGAGGACTATTAACACATTGAGTTGTTTTTCATACCTTTGTTGATACGGGCAGCTGTGATAATAGCCTGTTAGCAAAGTGTTCACACCTCACTTGTGCTTCCGAGGCTGCTAAGTGCTGTAATTCGACGTTGACCCGCTTTCAGCGAGCTGAAATAGAAGCTATTGTTCTCAGAGAGTGACAAACAAGTGCAAGTTTCTAATTAGCTTCTCCAAATGCATCGCTACGGCTCTGAGCTCTGAAGACTGAATTACAGTAAACGTGTTTTCTCAGCTGAACAGCTTCAAATCATGTTGCAGTGCAGAATGCTGTGACATTTTCTTCAGTGATAGCTTATTATATGTGCATATGAAAGCCTCTAAATAATGCAATAGTTAATAAAGCACAAGCGTTATACTGTAATGCTGTTTGCTTTTGTTGAACAGGCTCCTTTAAGAGCAGTCTACGGCTGTAATCAGTCAGTTTGTAGTAACCGTGGGTCGGACCACTGCGTGTGATGTGTAATATGCATTGTGATGATGATGCAGAGAATCCTGCCGCTTTACAGGTCCTCTCAGCTCTATGGAGAGTTTTAGCTTCTTTGAGCTTTTTGTTTTGATTTTATTCATATTTCTCAGCAGAACAAAGAAACTGCTGAAAGGAGGCTTTAATTGTACTTCAGATAAATGCCTCTGCTGTTCTGTGTTTGCTGTGTTTCATAACGAGGTTGTTGTATGTTCCTCTATGAGATGATCGGGAATCTTTGTGGTTGCAGTTTCGCTTGATTTGTAATGCTACAATCCAACAAATTTCTCTTAAAAGCACTTGTTTACTTTACTGAATGTAACACTGTGCTGTTATAGACTGACTATAAGGGCTGCTCAGTTCCCATGCCACATTCTTGGCTTTCTATGAGAAAGACTAAGACTAAATCACTGGAGGTTCATCTGTGGAGGATATGAGAGACACTGTGGTGATTCTCACTGTGGAGTCTGCCCGTGAACCAAACCACAGACAATAAATGGGAAGTTAAGCGGCGGATACCAGTGTGACTCTAGTGTGTCTAAAGTGTTGTTGGAACTATTTTTTACCGGAGTCAGGTGGTTTCCGTCATTGGGTCTTTCATGTTCACACAGACGGTTTTTTAATCTTAGGTTAAATAAGATCACGATTGATTAAAATGTTGAATAAGCAATAAAATGTTGTTTGTCATACATGAGGGGCATTTCAAGTCTTATACAATAAAGATGCTTTCTAAATATGAATACTTCATAC